TACATCTATGTTTAAGGTACAGTCAGTAAACTGTTGAAGTTATTTCATAGAAAAAAAATGTTGTATTCATAAATATACACTGATTAATGTGTAATTATATCCTAAAAAACTGATGTCTTCTCATAAACTTAATACATTACAAACACAAAGGAGAACACACCACTTGTTGCCCTGCCATACAGTGGTGGAGAAAGACATCGTGCTTCTGCCTTACTGTTTTATGTATGCTAGAGAATGGCCACATTTGTTGCATGCCTTATAAGTTACTTTTAATTTAAAGATCACAAGTTTCTCTTTCAAACTATATATGATCTTTTAACAATTGTCCATTATTCTCTTTCCTCCCTTATTTCCACCTCATCGGGAGAAGCGGCTTGAGGTGGTCATGTCAAGGCTCTAACATTTTAATAAACATTTTTGTGCATGTTAGACATGTGACCTTCTTGTTTCCATACAACTAACAATGAGCCGGCAAGACAACAACCACAGCTGGTTATATGCTAACATTATTCCATGTAATGTTAGGCTCAAGTGACCTAACATCTTTCCCTCTGATAAACTCTTTTAAAACTACATTCCCACATTATTTGAGGCTCTGTACAGCTATTATCGGACAGAATTGAGCTTCTCAGACTCACTGACTCGTATCAGACTCTTTCCTCAAGGTTTTACAGCCTCCTCCAGAGTACACAGATGTGGACACTAGCTGAGGTAAACAGCAGACTGACCTACACTCACTACTGATGAATGGCAGCCAGAGTTGATTGCCACACAGGGGCCACTGTAGTTAGGATAACAAAACTCATCTGACTGCAATGTGCAATCTACTGACATCTAGTGGTCATATTTGACATACTTTACCTTTAAAGGGGATAATATATTGTTACAGTGGTGGGTTGTCATATTAATATAGCTCCGGCGTTTCAAATAGTTATGTCTGAGTGAAAAGCTCACACTTGAGACAACTCTACACTTGGTTTCAGACATTTTTTCTACTATTGGCCCTGTATGATGTGAGGGAGACCAGAAATGTCTAATATTGTCATCTACAGAGGGACTTATATTTATGTGTTAAATATACACTATAGGTGCATCATAACCATGAACCCTTCTGAAACACTATCCCATAACTTACACCATAACCTGGAAAGAACATAGACTCCACGTAGATTCAGCACAGATGTATCACAGGTAACCCTCTAATGTGTTTGAAAGCTGAGAAAAATTGATCTCGGGTTCCGCCTACTACATGTGATGACAGTTTATTTTGAGCCTAGCGGCTTGAAGTCACTAAATGTCACGGTGCTGTGAATCACTTCACTTTGTTTACAAGACAAATTAAGACAATACACACTTCCAGTTATTTGTACCTTCAGTAAAGCATTCAAGCTTTGTTTAAGAGGCATGCACCTACCTGCTGTCAGGAGGCTCCTGTAGCAGTGGACTCTGAGGTCCAGTGGCAATGTGTGCTAGCTGTGTCAGCCAGCGTGTGTCCGGAGGCTCTGGTCTGTGTGTCTGTGTGTTTCGTTCCTGGTGTGACACACCCAACTCCACCTGGTACACAGGTGGTGATGTTGACTCCGTCTCCTCTCGAACCTCCTGTAGATCTGGGAGGTCATCTAGGAGAAGTAAACAGACATTAGAAACGGTTCAATTCCTTTTGATAAGAGCTGAAGCCCGCAAGCTGCTTCCTCGTGTCTTACATACCATATTCCATGTAACTGTCACTGGTGGGGAATCCGGGCGAGGAGGGGAAGTGTTCGTCACAGCGCAGCGAATCATGCAATTGGTCTCCATCTGCATCCATCATCATTTCTGAAGGTGACAGCAGAGTCACCACATGCTTTAACCGTTTGACAGGGCTTTAAATAATTTAGTTTAGTCCAACTTCATTATACATATACAGCACTGAATCACAATAACAATCCCCTCAAGCCATTTTATATCACAAGATAAAGATCCTACAATAATATAAAAAACCAAGCACTTGGTGACAGTGGGAAAGACAAACTGCCTTTTAACAGGAAGAAACCTCCAGCAGAACCAGAGTAAGAGACATTTAGAGCTTGACCTCTTTTTTTTAAATTTATTTTTGTGAGGCTTTGTGACGGCCTCATCATAGCACAGAAGCATGTTTAACAAACCGCTGTAATTAGTGGTTACCTGCGTCCTCAGCCTGAGGCTCGGGCTCCGGCACTTGGTGACATTTAGAGTGACCTGACAGCACAGTTGGAGTCACCACCTCCCACACCATGATGTCCAGGCACTAAAACATACAGAGTGATTTACATGAGTCTCAGATACATGACCCAGAATTAAGGCTAATCTATACACTTGAATCAGCATTAGCCATGTTCCCAATCCCCATGGGTCAGCCGCAGGCACGCACACACACACGCACACGCACAGAAACATAATCCCTAACTGAGCTGTAATGTATAGGCTATAAATGGTTGCGGTGGCATAGGGGACAGAAGCCTGGCTGCTATTCCCCTCTCATAAACAGGTTTACTATAGACACATTAGACCCGTTCCACTTCACTACCAGAGGGACTAAAGACGAGAACTACAGCAGACCCCGAAGAGAACGTGCTTCTCTTTTATCTATTTTATAATCTCATAATCATGTGACGTCTTGTTTATAAACTTCGTTCCTGGACGCATGCGCACAAAAAGCCCATTCATTCAATACGGAGAAAGGGAGCGATAATAAGAGTTGAAGAAAGTCGTCAAAACGAATAAAAAGCAAAAAAATGAAATCACCCAAAGCTAACGCAACAGCGTTACGTCACGGACTGCCCGTTTTGATACGCGTCACTCGAGCCTTTTGTATCGAAACTAGAAGTCGATAAAATTGTGTTTGTACTTCAACAAAAAAGTGGCCAAAAACATCTCGGGTTTTATTAAAACGCACCGAATACATTCTCAAAACATGTTCGGGGTGTGAAAATGCCATTAAATGGATGAAAATGGACGAGCTACACGGTTGCGCAAAAGACATTACAACAAAACAACAAACGTCAACAATGAAGCTTTACGGGGCGAGCGGCGCAAATGTATTTTACGACAAAAAACCCACGGTGTCAGCTTCACGCTGTTGCTCCGACGCCTAGATCAAGGAGAAACAAATCAAGTTGTGGAGTCGCTTTTTCATTTCAACGCTTTTAAACCTATAAACTATTTCAATGAACTTTCCTTAACTCACCAAAACAGTCTCCCTGTACGGAAAAGTGGGTAGGTATAAACACAGTTTCACAAGCTGTGCTATTGGTCACAATCGACGTCAATCCGCAACTTCTCTTGCGCTCATTGGTCAATTCCATTCCAGCTGGTTTTGTACATTGTGATCCCCGCAAAAAAAAAAAAAAAAAAGTTTGTTAAAAATGTATCGTGTGTGTCTACTTTTCATTTTTATTTATTTTCTTTTCTTTTATTACATGTGAAGCTAAATAGAAAGTCGTTTCCATTAGCGCAATTTTACAATAGCACTCTAAAAATGAAACAGGAGTCGTATGTTTGACTCAAGTGTCTTTTTGTAAAATAACTACGAACATCGGCGGTCAAACAGCTTTCAGCTCAGTTCTCAGATCCAGCGCAACAAAAACACTGGGGGGCGCCATGTTGCCTGGTTAAGGTTTCTGTCCCACACACCCGTTTTTTTATTTGTTTGTTTTTTCACCAAAGTTTGCAACTTCTGTGTGAACCGATTAAATAGGTCTTTACTGTAATTATAGATGTCTATGTAAAGCCGAACATATAGATTTCAGAATTTGCTGTGTGATATTCTCCGTTTTGGCGACTGTTTTTACAAATCAAATATGGGCAACCAATGTTATCATTATGTGAAATGAGTGAATACACATCAGCGTACTAGTTTGAGCAAGACCCAGAAACATTAAACTCATCAAACCAGTTGAGCTTTAGGAGCATAACTTTGAGAGCACTACATGCAGAACTCAGCAAAAACAGTGAGGTGACCACGTCATTAGTAAAACACGTGGAAAGTACATGTTTAAACAAATTTATTTATTTTTAAAAAAGTATTGCGTGACTGCAGCAGGCACTAGGTATTTGATATGCAATTTTGTCAGTCACTACCCTCTAGTGGTTACTGAGACTTATAGCAAGCCCGATAGATTAAGTTAGATCTAGTTACATATGCACATTTCCAGCAAATATTTCACAATAAATTAATAAACCACCAACATAAATAAATGTAGAAAACCACTAACAATCGCTGTGATCTATCAAACAAGGATAAACGGAAATTAAATAGGAATTTTATCTAACAATAAAATTCATTCTTCAGTTAGAAATATGCTACTTTCGGCTCTTCCGTCATTCAGAATGGAGCCACAACGACAGTGGGTAGCTCAACATATTTTATTCGTAAAATTCGGATCTTGTTATTTTTGCCCTTATTCCTTCACAAATGTATTACTTAAACCCCTCACGAGCGTATGTATTGGTAGTAATGTAGTTTCCTACTGTAGCCGCCAGAGGACAGTGAACAACGGCAGTTCTACAGCATCGGATCAGGCATGATGCTGATGCCAGAAAGCACTAACTTAATTAGGGAACTAAGTATGCATAATAATAAAAATAATAAATATACATAATAATATTGCTTTTATAGCTCTTAAATACTCCCTCTAAACATCCCTTCACTTTAGTTTGCCCTTAATATTTAAATGCTTTACCCTTTTTTGTTTTTACGTATTTTGCAGAAAGCGTGTTCAGCTTTGCGGGGTCATGTCACTGACTGTAAATATTATACATAATAACTTTCTACACTGGTCTATGAGAGCATGGTGTCGGGTAATGGTATTTTATTTTGGAGAGAAGCCGGAAGTGTCTGTGTGACTCTGACTGGGCAAAAGTTGGCCAGAGAGTTTGACAAAGTTTCTGAGTAGAAGCGCCGCGTTTCCTTAACCACAAACTGTGCACCCTAGCTTGAAAGTATCCTTTACTCTATTCCGTGGTCTCTTCTTTCCGCATAAATGCCGAAACTTTTGTCCAAAGCTCCGGATTTCGTTGCCATCTTCGTTCATTGGTGAGTTTTTATAAATTTTATTTTACCGCATCTCCTTTCGATTATTGCGGCAGCTGTACCGTTACACCACAGGCTAACCCTGCTCGGCTGTGGTCATGTTAAATACAGGCTGAACTATCCCCACCAGTAGATGCCCCACGGTCACTTTTCAAGTGTTTTAAAATGTTTATGACACAGTCGTCAAAACAGCAGACTGTCACTAAAACAGCAGACTGTCACTAAAGCCAGTTGTAATCACATCCATGTTGTTTTGAGTTTTGCTTCCTGCTTTTCAAAGCTTCCTCTGCTGATGTGACAGAAGCAGAAGGGAAACCCCAGCCATTTAATCCTGAACACGTCAGCCAGTGAAGATGATTTGAAAGAAAAGGGGTAACGAGATGAAAAAGTATTTAGTTGAGGTATATGAGTAATACCGTCTTGGTAAATCTTTACTTTCCCAAAAGCGGTGTCAGTACATGCAGTCGCCCTCAGTGTGTTTATTTTCTGTGTCTGATTCTGAAGTGTGGTTAGAGGTAACATTTAGATTGCAAAGTGTATTATTCTTGTATAGGTCTAATTATAGAG